GAGCATAGTTGAGCGTATTTCTAAAAGTGTAATATTTTTAACATTGGAAATGGGTACCAAGCTGATTCACAATGTGCCCATTTCCTCCAGAGACTTTGTTCCCTTCCTATTAAAATGCATTCTCAATCTGAATTTTTCCCTTGGCAATTAAAAGGGGAACACAAAGACCTCAACTCAGAGGCTAAAACTAGATGATGGGTCGGGGCAGCTCCTTCGTTTCTGTAATACAGAGATGTCTGTGGAGATCCAGGGGCCCAGGAAGAAGGTGGAAAATATTCATTTAACCTTCTTCATTCTGGAGGAGTTCTCACATAGTCCCTAAGCAAGAGTTCTGCCATTAAAGGAAAAGCCTTCTGGAAACCTTCATCAGTAACTGTGTGATCTGTTGTCTGCTACCTGGAAGCATGTGATGTAGCTGATTCCTTTTTGTTATGCAATCTCCTGCAACTTGATGTGATAGCTGAGTGTCCTGAACTTGGTGGTAAGGTTAAAAAAACTACAGTAAAGTATCCTGCTTTGTAGGTCTTTTACACAAATAGCATAATTTAAATCTTTGCCTCATTGGCTGTTTACAAGGTCACGTGATCCCCAGTAACTGCACCTAGCTTCAACAGACATAGACGTGTCATCTTCAAGAAGGGTCAATACATGATAAGCATGCCACATAGCATATGAGAATTTCTCTAGCAAATGTTCTGTGCATAGTAGCACCCACTCTAAGGACAAGGACAAACGAAAGGAACCTGAAGCTTGTTTTAGAGTTAATGGCTATTGTATCCATAATACACAGAAATAGAGAACCCCTGTGAGGGTATTTATGATGAAGGGTCTTGCAGAGATAATATCTTTCCAGGTCACATTTCCTATCAATGTTAGAAGGTTGAATGTATTAGCAAGATGCCTAAGCTTATAAAGTCAAACATAATTTTAAGCTTCCAGGTTATGGATAAAATTAACATTCACATTGCAACCATGCCCTTACTTCTATATGAGTGTGTACATATATATGCACACATATACATATTTATTTAATCTCTCCTTTTAGTACTACAGGACTGACGCCGATGAAGTCAGAATTCTTTGGTAAACGTGTTCATCAAGGGCTATCATTACTAGAGGCACTGTGCCACTTAGCGTCATAACTCATCTGGAGCTGGGCCGCACTCGCTTTGATATGTACCAGGTCATTTCATAAGGGAGTCTTTCTTTTGTTGCACTGTGAACTTTTCTAAAACAAAACAAAACAAACAAACAAAAAACTTGTAATAGAAGTTAGGGGAGAGATGACACAGGAGCTGAACCTCTGTGCACTCCGACAAGCAGTCGTGAGCAGTTGATCTTCTCTGGTTATCAGTCTGTGTGGAAGGGTGCATTTGAGGGAGGTGGAAATTAAGGCACAGAAAAGACAATTTATTCTAGAGACAACCTTGTGAGGCTAGTAAGGACTGAAAATATATCTGTGTGATTCTTAGGCATGCTGCTATACTACAAATTAGTTATTTTTGGATGGTGAAGGGATTGGGACTTTGGGGGAAATGAGCACTCTTCGTGGCTCCACATCATGCTAAACGCTCATGAACATGTCAGAAACTAGAGGGCAACAAAAAAATCTGAAAATATTTTAATATTTGCATGCAAGCATTGTATTTCAAATACCTGCTATAGACACTTCATGCCTAGTGTCAATTCTTTGGTAATCTCCCCAAAACAAAATTAGATAAGATTAGATCAGGAGGAGATGATCCAAAGGTGAGATTAGTTTGGGCAATTTCTGAAAGGTGCTGGACCTTTCTGCCCAGAGGCCCTCGCAATTAATTCTCCCTTTCAACATATAGCTGGCTTTCATATACCACTCGCTACAGCTAAGGACATTTCAATAATAATTCTCCACTGTTAAATTTGGCTAGGTATCTTTGTTAGCAAGAGAAATTGCTGCAGAATGGTAGATCCTTGCAAAAAGCTTCTGTACACGTATCATGCAAAAGTGCAAACAACCGAAATCATTTTTTAAAATGCCGAGTTGCTACACAGCAGTGAACAGGTGCAGCAAACAAGGACCAATTTTTGACTAGAAGGGAAAAAAATTACACTCTTCAAGGCATTCTGTTTGGTGGCAGTCGTGATCATTACTGAAAGTAATACTTATTTAAAAGCAGTAAATGGCCATTTCCAAACAGAACGGCATGTCATCAAAAGGAGGCAGCCTCCTGCTCACACATCCCCAGGCTCCCCTGAGTCTCATTATACTCTGTCGTGTTAGCTCTCTTCCTTCTTTATTTTTTTCCTTCTTATTTTTTAAGACTTCTTTTTCTTTCCTGCTGAGTATTATCTTCTAAAATCAAATTAACAGCTAATAGTAAATGTGCACAGTCACTTCAGGAAAGCAAAACCAAACAGACACAGGAGATTATATAAAAATAGCATTTCTCACACTAAAGACTAAGAGCCCAGATGGAAGTGCGAGAGGATTGCAAGTAGGTTGTAGTGCCTGCAGCTGTTATCTAGGTAACTGTTTTGTAGAGTCATTAAATGCATGCTAAAACTAGAATAATTTTGAGAAATCCTTTCCATCTGTGTTCTATCTTTTAAAAAAAACTCTTCTATTTCTAAGATTTCCAGTGAAGAAAAGTAATAATAATGATAATCATAAGATAGGAAATAACTATTAGATCTTGTTTTGGTAAAATATCACACAAAGGAAATATGATAAATTTTGGAGACAAAAATTGATATTGTGACTATTATCCAGTGGATAACTAATAATAAAATGTCATGGATCTTTATTTTGAATGAGTTTTCAAAAGAATAGATTTCTTCAATGAGATTCAATGTATAACTATCTAAATGTATGTTAAAATGCAACTATATTGAACAAATTTCTGCTATAACATAGGTGGTAATTAAGAAGGCATTGTTTAATATATTCCAGAACTAAGGTTTCAATTTCTTTAAATTGGTCTTTTATCTTATTTTGTTTTTTACTGGTCCTTATTTAAGATAAAGTTAACATTAAGACTATGAATCAAATTCTTGGCAACAAAGAAATTTACTTTCTTATTTATAGGATTATCTGAGCGATTTGAGATAAATGATAAATATCAAGGATCCCTTCGGAATATTCTCTTTGAACATAACAGGACCAGACAATAGCCGAGGATTCACTCTGGGCATCAACTCAACTCTCTTTACCTATTCTGGGTCTACTGGGTGCTCAGGATTGAGCAGAGCAGGTCTTATTTGATACCAACAATGGTGATATTTAAAATCAGTCAAGTTTCTCATCAAAGGAATCTGGATATGATGAATCCTTGGGAAAAGAATAAGCAAGTGTTTTATTGCTGTTTCATCAAAATCGGCAATGCTTGGTGAGTTACATGGAGACACGGAGTGCTGAGGTCAATGCAAGAAGGAAGTGAAGTCAAAGGGGGTGGAAAAAGGACTCATGTCAATGCTCTGAGAAACAGAGAAAATTATTATCAGATTAATCTAATCAGAAAAGCGAAAACCACAAACCTTTGGCATTTATGATCCTAGAGATGTGGACACTCTAACTATATAAGTTAGAACATTCTGGCTTTAAGCCTTTAGGGGTCTTATCTAAGATCACATTAAGGTCTAGAAAATGACCAAAATGTAAGCATGAATTCAATCATGTCTGTGGTCACTGTTTCTTTAATCACAAATGTATTGTGAATGACTTTATCCATGTCAAATTAGAATAAACTATGTTTCTTAGTAGCTGCACACTGCTCCTCACCATGAGCGGCAAGCTCTCTGGGACAGGAAAAGAAATTCAAACTTGCAATGGGAGTGCAGAGTGAAGAGAATAGCCTTCGAAAAGCAGTGTCTTCATGCAACACACTTGCAGGGTCAGTGGAGGCTGCTGGGAGGATCAAATATCCAAACTGGTTCCTTGAAGGATAAGGAGGGATTACACAAGGGAAGAGAGAGGAGGAGGAGGAATGCCGGGCCACACTGAGGAAATAGCTGACAGGTAGGATCGGAGGCAAGGAGGGATTGGCATGTTGGAGGCAGTGGGGGGAGTTTGGTGTGCCTGGGACACTGAGTGCTGGTGGGATTCAGTGACAGATGAAGCAAATGAACAGGACTCACCAAATACTGTAGGGCTTTCAGCTGTGCTGAGGAGTTGGGAATTCATCTCAAAGTATGGAGAAATGAAGGAATTTAAAACAAGTGCATGCAATTAATTGGGCCTTCATTTTAGAAAGGAATTCATGACTGGGGGAGGACTTGGAGGAGGCAGTCAGTACAAAAGGAACGAGAACAGTGGTAGGCTCTTGCAATATCCCGGGAGACGGAGTTGACATCATCACGTGGAGCATGGGGAGTTAGGATGCGGCAGAGATATTGACTTTGAATATCCAGGGCACTACAATTATAGTATTGGATGGTACATGGACATAAATGAGTGGGCCCTTAGCAGATAGGAAAATTATTCTGAAATATTTGAGTAATCAACTCCCTGGCTGAAGAACCTTCTGGAAGATAATAGAGCGCCCTTCTCAGTTTAACAGTCATGACAACAGCATTTTAAGCCAGCCCTGTATTTTCTCATCATCAGTGAAATCAACCTGAATTCTACAGGAGACCTCTCTCAACTGTTGTAACTTTGTTGTGTTCTTCCCAGAGTTATAAAATCTCAGTGATATTCTCCATGTAAAAATCACCTGCAGAGCAGGCATTTTTAGTCTCAAGGTGCTCTTGGCCTCTCCATGTTCTCCAGTAAATGTGGGAATAAGAGACAGAGAAGGGAGCCCAGCCGGCGATAGTGGTGCGCTCATCTGTTTTCTGAGGGAAGCCGGTCAATCCAAAGGAGAAAGAATTAGAGTTGCTGAGTAAGAGGTATCTAAACTCAGAAGAAAGGCTTCCTATCTCTACATGGAGGTCTTCCAGTCCTGAAGTGGAAGGATGAAATGCCAAGTATGCTTTGGGGCTGTGGGGTGTCTCACGCAAACCCAGGGCACGATGCAGGTACTCACCCCTTCTCCGCCATTTTCAACGGTGTTGGCAAGCATTTCTTGCAGTGCTCTGACAGATAAGGACTGTTCCAGCACGAAATTGCAGACACAGAGATCTGGAGGGATGTACTGTGGAAATAAAACCAGAGTGAGGATGCTTTTTCGTATCAGTCAGGGATCAGTCACACAGGGGCATCACGATGGCGCTGGCCCCTACCGACTAAAATCACAGCTGGCTGGACGGATAGAAATGTAGCAAGGCAGCTTTCCCAAGCTAAGATGGGGTTTAAGTTGGATCGTAAAGGATGAAAAGAAGCAAAGCTTCGAGGGAACAGTGGCCAAATGTCCGGATCTGCTCATGTGAAGACAGGTGGTACATAAGGGCGAAGAACACACAGCCCTGTTGAAGAAGGAACAGGAAGGAAAGGGGAGGTCCATCTACACTCAAGACTGAGTGCAAGAAGAAATGCACTCACGTCTCCTCCGCAAGAACTCACCGGACAGAACTAGACAAGGTGTGGCTCTAGATTACAATGGCCCACACAGGAAATCTGCTTATTTGTAAAGAAAACCTGGATTTGATCATGCATAAAGAGGCAGCAAGGGGATTAAACGCTACATAAACATAGGTCTGAACGAGGAAAACTTATGACTCATATAATAGCCATTATAATATTAGAGTCACTTAGCAGGAATCAGTTATCATCACGACACTAGCATTGTTCTGGCTATTTCTTACCAATGACTAAAGCTCCTTCCCTGAATACTGCTGGCAATAGCTAACGCTCTTCAAGTGAGCCTGTTCTCCACATCAGGTATTTTCCTGAATGTTCTGCATACATTAAGACACCTAGTCTGTATCAGCATCCATTAAGATAGGTACTCCTAATGCCCCAGGGAATGAAGGCATAGGACATTCAGGTCATCTGCAAATGTACTGTATTTGGCTAAGTCAGATTCACACGGAGGCAGTCTGTCTCTAGGGTTCATGCATTTAACCCTATACTGTTTCCCATACTAATTTATACAATAAAGATTTCTTTTTTTACAATTAGAAAATTTTAGATTGGCAAATATTTAAGTACTACATTTCTGTTTGATAATGAGAAAGATAGAAAAAACAAGGCCATTGCCCTCAGGACCTTAACGGTCAAATTTCAGAGTAGGCCCTCTTCCTTGGGAACACAACATGTGACTGTCCTCAACGCCCCTCTTTCCTTTAATAGTAGATCAGCAGGACGAGAATAGCACCGATGAGAAGGTGGGGCTGCGAGGCAGAAGACGGCCATGAGAGGTGCTGCTGGCAGAAGGACCCGCACAGACAACGGATGTCCTTTTTCCAGAGTAGCCTGCTGGTCTGTTGTAAAACCCTGGGCTCACCCTTCAACACAAAACCTGTTTAAGGAAAAATAATACAAATAGCAAGATGTCTTAACTGACAGAGTCACGACCTGAATCACACAATCTTGAGCTGACTCGAAAAGGAGTTAACCATGAAACAACCAGGAGAGGCACAGCTGCATCCCGGTAGCTGTGCACGATGGCCAGAATATCCTCTGTGGGTGCATGCTCTCAAAGATGATGTTAGGATGTCTGTGTCTGAGCATTGCTCCACATGGGTACCAACGATGTGTATGTCTCCTCAAAAGACCTTGCCTTCTGTGCTTCTAATGGAACACTTTCTGCATCTTTGTGAACTTTTCTAGAGAAACAGAAGGGGGGAAAATCCCCTAAAAAGTAGATCTGGTCTATCCATGGTTTGGGAGGGAAAAAGGATCACCTTATCCCAAGCACGTCCCATGTAACTCATAAATATTCATAAAACCTTTAAAAGAGTACACAGCATAGACCCCACTGTGCTGTTATGCCTGCCTTGGGACAGCCCACGCCAGTCTCTCTTTGGAGTGCTTGCTTTTCTAAGTAAACCACTTAACTGTGTCTCTCAAATACGTCTTTGCTATGAGGAGAACAGACAAGAAGTCCCCACCCCCCACCGTCTGTTCCTCAGGATAGGAAGCAGAAACTGACAAGGATTCCTAATGCTTCAGAATGGAAAACCGTTTCCATGGAGTCTGATTTAAAGGTAAAGGTAGCCCATTACTAAGAGCTAGATAACTTCTCAGACTAGTGTTTTCCATTTAAAAAACAGAGATTATGGAATTGACTGTTTTAAGTTACTTCTATTTTTATGTGTTTGTATATTTCTCATCTCTTCCCAACCTCAATGTGCTGAAAAACTAAGAACTTGCTGTCCTAAATGTAAGATGATGTACTATTTGTTAGACCTACTGGGATTGTTTTCAACAAAGTGTTAAGACTCCATCATTAAAGAATTAATCTAGACATGGACCATCCTATCCCAAAGCTAGCTTTGGTGACTTCTGTTTTGAAGTACTTTGTCACTAAGGCTTTGAGGGACTAGTTTGCTGTTTCAGCTCTTTCTCCACAGGTCTGCCTAATCAGAAAAATAAAAGCCTAGTTGCCCCAGAATTCTGGTGGAACAGGAACTTTCCCGGTTCTCATCCTAAAGTTTAACTGAGGAGAAAGGGTTCTATGTACAAAGAATATCACCATATCTTCACTTCACAGTCGCTTTTTCTTTGCTTTGTTTTCAAAGTGCATTCCTAAAGCAGGTGATTAATTCATTTTTATGGGAATCAAGACAGAGGCTTCTGAGCCTCATCTCTCTCAGAGCATTGTAGCACTATTATGGGCAGTATGGAAATACATGATCAAGTATTTCCCTGGAGACTTGATGCTGTAAACATATACCACTGAACACAGTATCCCAAAATATGCCATCTTGGGAGATTTTATATAGCTGTGGCTACCTGGAGTTCACCAGTTTAGAATACAGAACTCATTCAGTCTTTCATCCTTCTTGACTTCTTTAGACCATGTGATTTGGAGAGTTTCCTTTCAGAAATATCTGCAGTTAAAGTTCATATTTGAAAGGGGGCTTTAAATTGGTCATTTAAATAGTCTCACATGTCTTTAATAACTAATCTATTTAACTGATTTTCTCAACAGCCCCAAGTATCCAAGACGTTTTCTTACAGGAGATTATTTGATTTATCAACCTTTTCTCTTAGTATGGTTTGCTTGGAGGGGAGATAGGACCTCTTGTCTGTGCCGTCGTTCATTAAGATGGAGGGTTGATGATAACGTGGACAATTGGCATGCTACAATTGTATCTGGCCTTTCCCTCCAGGTACTAAAATTATCAAGAAAAATCTTACTTTCATGAATGGCAGGAATAGGTACATTTAAGCAGGGGCTAGTTTGCATCAGGAGGATGTATCTCAAGGTGGATAGATCCTTATGGTTTTGTTTCTGTATTTCTAGCATGCGGTCCCTGCCTGCAACTCTTTATATTTGGGAAAGTGATCACATCACTTTAATAGCACACAGAATAATGTGTGGGCAGTGTCAAGGGAGAGAACAGAGTAACAGAAATATCTGGAGAAAAACAAAATGCAACTTGTGACATGAATGAATGCAGAGTCATCTGACCAGCTATGCCAGCTGCCATCCTTAATTAAACTCCAAACTGGACCAAGCTCCCACCTCTATACCCCTAAAGAATGAGCCAAGGCCACTTGCTCATCCAAGCTCATTTGTCTGCATCCAGGAGAGTCCCCTAGGAGGCCAGCTCATTGTCTTGATGCTCTGGAGCCTCTGCCTCAGTCACTCTGTCTGCCAGACATGGGGCACATATTTGATGATTCTCAGCACGGAGAGAAAGACTCTGTTGACATCTGTTCTGAAATAGTTCCTCATCACTCTTCCAGCCCTGTCCTTAGCCTACAAAAGCATTTCATTTCAAAGTGTCCTACAGAGAACCTTGAGATGCCAGAGCCCTGGATAGCCACGGACAAATATTCATTTAGCCCCACTATGTGCAAAATTACAGATAGGCAGGTCTATTTATCATCCATCCTCTGTAAACTGATACAACAGCATGGTTCTTCTGAGGCTTGCTGCAGCCTAGCTGATGGGAATCTGATGCCCCTATTAGCAGAGCATTTCACATTTCTTTAGTACCCAACAAGAGCCATTCCACATCGCAGTAGCTCATCCTAGTGAAGCCTTCAAAGAAGTCAAGAGATAAGCTAATAACAGAGGAAAATCATGGCCTTCCCCTCATAAAGTTAACCACTGTCTGTTTTTCCTTGTCTAGGTTTTGAGGTACAAGAGTCAATCGATTGAATAGGCAGTGGGGTTTTTGAAAATTTGATCTGATTCACTTAGTGCCCTTGTCTTAAAACAGTGAATGTTTGGTTCTCTGTAATCCTTTAATATCATCTAGATATGTATGGCTGGGATTAACTATAGCTATGGACAAATTGCATTGAGCCTCCCTGGGTGAGTCATTTCTCCAGACCTCCTGTTCAGGAATTAAGAGACTGTTGTTGTGATCCCATTGTTGTGATCTTCTTTGACTTCTCTGCTAATTCACCTGTTTCACACAGTGTCATATCTCAGGGATGCACCCTTTATGTGAATAGATGCCCCCAACACAAGTTAGAATGCTCTCTGTACAGTGATACTGTTGTAGGATGGCACGAGTTCAAATCTCTGCCCTAAAAGCTGTCAACTAAATGATGTGGACCAACTAGCTTGGTTTCTCTGATCCTTAACTTTCTGTTTTGTAAAATCATATCTCCTCAGATAAACGTTTTAGGTCTGAATAGCTTAAAAACTGAATGCAGGTAATAGACACTTGAACTATGAAAGAGGACATAACGCTAATTGTTTTTCTAGTTTTAACTTTGCTGTATATTTTTCTTTTTTTTTATTTTTAGTGGTGTATAAGAGCATACAATTACATTTGATAGTGCAAGTGGAAAATCCAGTGTGCATCTCCACAGTTTCAGAATGACTATTCTAATAAAAGTTCATTGACGTGAATAGCCTGTGGATCTAGTTAATCTCACTTATGAAGTTTTTGATTTGTAAGTTTTTTATAAGAAGGTTTTAATATTCTTAAAAGTTCAAAATTGGGGCTATTATTTAGTAAACACTTAATGTTAGACAATATTCAACAAAGGAGGATGATTTGAACTATCAATAGTCAATTTAAATATTCATTTATTTGTAACTTTTGGTTTTGAAATCATTATTTTATA